AACCTGGATCAGGGAATTCTTTTACTCAAAGCGCAGCCTGGGGCCAACCGTGACTCATGAGAGCTTGGTCCAACAGGCTGTTGCTTGGAGGGGCTTGCAGGTCCATATATCCACAACAGCCTGGTTGATCCAGTACTTCTTGCAGAAAACTATTTAGTTTTTTCTTGAAGACTTCCACTTCTGTCCCGGTAATTTTCCTTATATTTGCTGGAAGGATATTGAACCACCTTGGACCTGTGATGTTCAGACAGTGTTTTCTGATTGTGCCTATGGCACCTTTTCAATGGCTCTATTCTGCATTTCCTGCTGTATTGTTCTCTCCAGTACATTGTTATTTCACTGTACAAATTTGGGACCTGGCCTTCCAGTATTTTCCATATGTATTATGTGATACCTCTTTAACCTCCTTTCCAGGCAGTACATTTTGAGAGCTTTGAGACAATAATTTATAATAATTTCCCAATAATTTACATGCTTTATCGTGTCTGTGTGTGCCATGTGTGTTCTCTGTATTCCTCTATTTCTGCAATCTCTCCTGCTCTAAAGGGGAAAGTGAGTATTAAACAGTACAGTACTCAAGGCAGGACAACAGAAGTGATTAAAATAATTTGAACATTGTGGTAGGATCCCTGGATTTGAATGTTCTCATAATCCATCCTATCATTTTTCTATCCGACACTATATTTGCTTGATTACGCTCCCATAAATGTTGTCATCTAAATTCTCTTTCCAACCTTGTTCTCTTTCTGACCTTCTGCAAAAGAACATGTTTCAGACAGACTTTGTATGCTTCAACAGTCAACTGAAATATTCCTCATGTGAGAGTTTTGTTACTTAACATGGTTTCCCATTGGACATTTTCAAGTTCTATAATGATTTTTTCCCCAGTCAATTCTCGTATTATTAAAATTGAATTTCTTAGAAACAACCCCACTGTGTGTTGCCTAGTACATCACAGTTGCATTCTATGATCATTATCTTTCGTGGCGGATTCTAAGCTAAGTGACGGTCATCCTAGAACTTTTTCTGTCTGGGTCATTTGCTAATGTATCATTCAGATATAGTATTAGCTTCATGAGCATGTTTTCAATCTGATGATGTTATGTGGACTTGGCTTTTTGCATTCTGAACTGCATGCATCCAGTAGTTCTTCCCTGGATATTCAGGTAGCACTACTCTTGCACTGACAGTGACTTCTCTGGTGTTTGGGAGCTAGCCCTTTTGAGGCCTAGCCATCGGGGTGGAGTACCTTATCTTGGGTATTTCAAAGGTCGTGTGACTCCTCTGTTTAGACTCATGTTGGGGGCATTCAAGTTGGTTGTGGTGAGGTGCACTTGGGGCTTGCTCACTGTTTATATAGCACGACACGGTTGCTATTTGCAATACTGATCCATCGAGCATGTTTTGGTTTCCTATTATTGTGGCTAGTGCTCCCAGTGCCTGGGAGTAGAACACTTGTCTGGCATATTAATGGCAGGCCGTGGAATTTTCCTACAGGCCTGTGAAAAGGTCAGTAATGTACAAAGATCACCAGTTAAGTAAGCTCTTGCCAACTGTGAGTTCTAAAGGGCATTCGTCACCTTTGTTACATGGCGATGTTCATTCTTTCGGCCTCCACCACGCTGCCTGTTGGGTCAACGATACTTATGGCTTTAATTCCTGTGGGGGTTTGTTCCCCACTGATTCTGATTCTCCCTGATCCTGCTTCCGAGATTACAGCTTTGATCTCCGATGGATGTCCGGGAATTGTTTGTTTAAGGACCCGGAATTGGTGTTGTTGATCTCCACCTTCGCTCTGACCATGCCTCCTCTTTCATCTCTCGCAGATGTGGTATTCGCTATTTTTGCTCCTCTTCACCCCTGCCTGCTTCCAGCTCTGAGGCATCTGAGAGTTTTGGAGTCGGGGCATGGTGTAGCTCAGCAAGTTCTGGAAGTTGTCCCTTTATTTTCAAGCACAAAAGGCTCTAGTTTTGTCAAGGTTATGGAGTTTTCCTCTTCACACCTGTATGACTTACCTGTGTCTTTTCCTTGGGAGGATGCCTTTCTTTCCCAGGTGTTGGAAAAGAACTTTTGCTCAGACTCGGATCCTTTATGACAGCTTCTGGGGCTAGGAGGAGACAAATAGACCTTTGGATGCCCTTTGGTTTTTCTTGCTATTATGTTTTCTTATCCTCCTGATAGGAATTAATTCAATATCTCTGTGGCTTACCCCGGGGTCCATCTCCTTGTACCGCACGGTCCTGTGGATTTATCTTTCCAGAGGGTTCTCTTTTCCTGGGTTTCCCCTCTTAGTCACTTGTGAGGACCTTTTCCAGTACTTTCTGCAGAATTCTGACCTCGCTTCCATGATGGATCCCCGTTTCCTTCACTATTTTGGCCATGTTATTTAATTCCGGACTCATTATCCTGGCTGGCTGACAAACCTCTTCCCCTTTCCCCTTTGGCAGGTGTTCTGTCATTCCTGAATGTTTTAGTAGCATGATGCATAAATGTTTAAGGTGTTCTTGGGTGGTGTGGTGTTCCTTATTCTCCACTTGAGTACTGCTTGTTTCAATTGTGCTCTTTCCAAGGATATGGCTAAATAGCAGCTTTATATTCAGCTGCATGTGCTTTCTGCAGCCCTCATCACAGAGGATGACAAGGCATGTATGAACTTGGCAACGATGATGCGTTTTGGGGCCCTCATGGAGCACTTTGCTGATAAGTTCCATGAGGATGTGAACTCGCTTGGTTTGGTTCCAGGTGCAAAGGTCTTGATGCCGGCAATGCCAGTTATGGTCCTGTTACCCAAGATGCTTGCACCAATACTTTGCGAGGCCGTGGCAATGTTTTATATAGCTCACCTCACATGTTGGCATACCGTCCTAGCCCAGTCTTCAGAATTGGCTTTGTCTTTAGCCCTTTTTTGACTCGCCGCCTCAGGATATTGTTGTGCAATTTCTTTTGAAGGATGCTACATTGTGCCATCCAATTTCACAACTTTTGGCTAGCCAGGGTTCTGTTCCTTATACTGTACTTGGAGGTGGTCTAGTAGGGCTGAGGCCATGCCTGCTGATGATCGGGGTAGGCCATCGGGGGTGTCAGATTCTTGGGGTATTGCGCTTCCTGGGGAAGCTCCTATGTACAGTACTGGTACCCCTCATTTTTGCATCGCAGAAGGATAATGCCTCTTATGGCTTGCATCAGCCTTTTGGTGACAGGAGGAGGTTGCCTTGCTTGCTTTGCCAATTTCTGGTCCTACAATTTGTGGGTGTTTTGAGTTATTTCTCTTAGTCTGCGGTTAGACTTGGGGTCGCTAGCCTAACCCCTCTCGCATCTGGGGTTGGGCTAGCAGGCCAGGTTTCATCCAAGTTGCTGTATTGGGTCAATGTGATGTGGTTGGACTTGAACTTGTTTGAGCCAACCTCGTCCCTTTGTTGGGTGTCTCAATCATTCCCAGTTCCAAAGAGGGACTCAACGTACCTTCAGTTTATTCCTGATCTTTTGGGTTCGAATAGCTTCATTCCCTGTCTGACCTGCCAGTGACCACTTTAGTCCAAGTTCACCTGGTTTTCCAGCTGGAGGCTTGGATGGTGTCCCTGGACCTAAAGGATCTGTACTGGCACTCTTATTTCTTGGTAGTTATTTAGCTACAGGGACCCACCAAGGTTCCCTATCTTGAGATTATCTTGAGATGATTTCGGGGCTTTTTTTTAGTGTCCCCGCGGCCCGGTCCTCGACCAGGCCTCCACCCCCAGGAAGCAGCCCGTGACAGCTGACTAACACCCAGATACCTATTTTTTTTTTTTTACTGCTAGGTAACAGGGGCATAGGGTGAAAGAAACTCTGCCCATTGTTTCTCGCCGGCGCCTGGGATCGAACCCAGGACCACAGGATCACAAGTCCAGCGTGCTGTCCGCTCGGCCGACCGGCTCCCTGTACGCAGTTTCGAGTCTTTGGTTCGTGCGAGCCCAGCAGCTGTATGTAAAGCTTCGCCGATTTTCTGGATGCTTTCCCAGTGAAATGATGGAATGTCATTCGCTCACTGCACCTAAGCAAGATAGCTATTAGAGCCACTGGGGATCTTCCAGAGACATTTCATTACATTCAACGCTGGATTTTTGTTGTACACACGGGAGTGCACGAATAATGACTTGTCTCTTTGTTAACTGGCTTAACAAAGCTTTCCTTTCCCACAGCTCATCTTAAGCCTTAAACAACTAGTTTTACTTGGAACATGATTCACCAATGGGTTAACAACCAGGTCCCCAATTAATGCTGGTGCAAATAGTTAAAAATCAATGCCCAATTGCTCCCTCCTACCCAGGACTCTAACAAAGGATGTTGCTTACTAGGCAAGGAGGAAGATGACATTATATGCTACACCACATGGAGACTTCTGAGCATATTTATTCTGCCACTGTCACCTTCCGGCCAACATAACTTTCTTAACACTGTGGGTATCTTTCACTTGGCAAGACACCAAGGATGGCAGGATGTATGTGGAGAGTCCTTGGTTGATGCACCTTTAGCCAGGTGAAGTATTGAGGGTGGTGGGGTGTAGCAAGTGTGAGATGATGGATTGTAATTGGCCAACAGATGACCAGAGTTACCATTAGCAGTCACAAGTGTGACATTACCGGCAATCTCTAATACTAGTTTGTGAACAGACCTAAAAACTCTGATCATTTTAGCTGGATTGATTCTATCTCCAATACTCATGAGCACCTTGCATAACCTTACCTGGGTGATAAAACCCCTATAGCACATGCTTGAATAACAGGTCATCCTGTCTGATGGTAATTGTCAGTCTTCTAGGCATTTGGGAAAGCTTTACCTGTGGCACCAAGAGGCTGATCATGCTCAAAAAAAATACTTTTTACAAGCAACACCTAGCTGGAAGACTATTTAGTAACATCTGTGACAATCAAAAGGTAGAACATATGACTCAGAATCTCAATATGAGAGCAAAATTGAGCTTGGATAGTAAAAACAGTACTAAACAAATTATTGAGACTCACCTAGGGCCTTTATTTTTATCACGGATCCATTTGTAGAGCTGAGACGAGTCTACCTGGATGGCCCCCAGTTTGGAACTACGCTGGATGCTGTAAACGGTCTTGGCATTTCGTACCACCTCTATTACGCCCACCTGCTTGCCCATGGACAAACAAGAATATGGCATCATGCGGAGATCCAGCCCTTCTTTATTCCACAGTTGTGCCATCATGCCAATAACCTGAAGCATCAGCATGTCCTGCCGAAGGTCTGCAAGAATATCATATTTAGCTACTTATGTACCACTACAAGAACAGATTATGATAACCACATATACAGACCTATGTTAAATTTTCACGTTCATTCACTTCCATTATATGGAATAATAATGATGCTACAGATTATTCCCAATGCATTCCTAGAAGCCTAAACTAAACATCATATTTTGTGAAAGATCTGAGGGTGAAAATACTATGCATTCCAGGATCAAGAATTTGATTAGGTATACTGTAACCCCGCATTTATCCGGGATTCAAACATCCGGAAAACGCCCTTATACGGCCAAAATCACGATCGGATAAAGTTATCACAATATCCGGCCAAAATAGCCACAGGGACCGGATTAAAGCTGGTTTAGTCGGAAAAAATGTTGGGGCCCGGTTAATTTTCTGCAGAAATTACAATCCGGTCAGTCGCCCGGATAATCATGGCTTTGTCCGTATATGAAAACATGAGGCGGGCCATACGGTATTAATCCCATCTGCCCGTGACTCGAGGCGCATGGTGTAGGTGGGGGTGGGGTGGGTGGGTGGTGTCGGGAGAGAGGGGGAGCGTTGGGAGGGACCACCTGGGGGGATAAGGCAGGATGGGGAGCGGCCTATACACTACAGTACAGTAATTACTATAAATTTTAGAACAATTCATCATAGCCAAATCAAAAGAAATACTAGTAATTATGTAATAAAAAATTCCATACAAGTTTCCTAAACACAATTTGCATAGGCTGAAGTTTCCTTCAAAAATATTTTTTTTTTCCCTCCTGGCGGCCTACGTAACGACGTAACGTGCCTCCTCCCTGCCCCGACGGGACCCATTCATGCCTGGTCAAGCCATGTGCTCTCTAACCTCGTGTTACACCACAGTGCCGCGCCATTAGTGAAATATTTTTTTAAATAACTCTTATTTTCATATTAACTTTGAACATTTTTGGCCAAGACTATGTCTGGTAGCAGCATGAATCGTTCTGGCGGTGGTAAGAGGAAGAAGGTTGTCCTAACACTTGAGGACAAGCTACGTGTTATACAACTTTGTGAACATGGCCGGTCGACCTCAAGTGTTGCCAAGGAATTTAATATAGGCACTAGTACTGTTTCTGATATAAGGAAACAAAAAGAGAAACTTATGCAATTCATTTCAACCTGTGAAAATGAAGGTGCAAGCACAAGCAGAGGTTGTGGTAGAAAAACTATGAAAACTTCGACGCATGTGCAGTTGGATGAAGCTGTGTACAAGTGGTTTGCTCAGCACCGCACAGCTGGCGTGACAATTCACGGCCCAGAAATACAAAATGCTGCAAGCAGGTTTGCTGCAAGCCTTGGAATAAAGAATTTCGAAGCGAGTGAAGGGTGGGTTGCAAGGTTCAAGGGTAGGCACAATATTGTGAAGAGGAAAATTGTCGGTGAAAAATTGAGTGCAGATGAAAGCAGTGTAGAACCATTTAAACATAAATTACGAGAATATATTGTGACAATATATATTCGTATCAAATTTATAATGCAGATGAAACTGGGTTGTATTGGAGGAGTTTACCAGAAAAAACTCTAGCAATGAGGAGTGAGGGTTGTGTGCCAGGCCGTAAGGTTAACAACGACAGGCTCTCGGCCATGATGTGTGCGAATACCGACGGCACAGACAGAATCACGTGTGCAATTGTTGGCAAATCTAAGAAACCAAGAGCCTTGCAACATTGCATGGACAAACTGCCAGTGAAATATTATAACTCAAAAAATGCATGGTTTACACAGGAGATCTTTCTTTCCTGGTTTCATGACGTGTTCTGCAGGGAAGTTCGTGCCTATCAAATTAAGAAACACAAAATAAGGCCAAGCGAAGTTCGGGCTTTACTGTTGCTTGATAATGTGCCTGCCCACCCCAGAATTGACACGTTAACCTCACATGATGGCAAGATAACGTGTATGGCACTTCCTCCTAACACAACCTCTCATTCAGTCTATGGATCAGGGAGTTATCTGTGCTACGAAGAGGTTGTACACCAAAAAAATGCTAAACGAAGTTTTGCCTCTTCCGGAAGATATTGAACTCGGTGTGGATAACAGGGCTAAAAAAAAACTTCAGAATTTGAAGAACTATACAATCAAGGAAGCCATCTATAACTGGGCCAAGGTGTGGAGTGAATTAAAGGAATCGACTTTGAAAAATTCCTGGAAAAAACTCCTCACGTCTACGGTCAGAAATGAGGAGGATGAAGAAATGGATTTTGAAGGATTTACAGAAGAAATCCATGGAATGTTTAGAAATGCCAGCGAAAACTTAGAAAGACAGGATGTGGTTGATTGGCTTTAAAAAGACGCCAATGATCCAGGATATGGTGTGATGAGTGAAGACGAGATTCTACAGTCTGTTACTGGTGAGGTCGACGAAGAGGATGAAGAAGGCAGTGAAGAACCAACACCAATGACCACGAAATACAGTGTACTCATGACCTATGTTGACGGATTAATAAATTTTTCATCTAATTGTGCTCATCCAGAGGTTGGAAACGTGAGGCGGCACACACAACCTAATCGCCTTCAACAAGTGAGGCGGCACACACAACCCAAGCGCCTTCAACAAGTGAGGCGGCACACGCAACCCAAGTGCCTTCACCAAGTGAGGCATCACATGCAACCCAAGTGCCTTCAACAAGTGAGGCAGCACATGCAACCCAAGTGCCTTCAACCAGTGAGGCATCCTCAGCAGACAGTGAGAACTAACTTTGCCTAATGAACTGTACAGTAATTTTAAGTGTTAATTTTAGTGTTGTGTTACTATAAGTTACGTAAATTGTCAAGAATTTTTAACTTCAAGATGTGTCATCAATCAAGAAGACGAACAACAAAAAGGTAAGTTGAGGTTTCTAGTTGAATATTTAATAATTATATGTGGCATGTCAATTCAAATTATGTTATTTGTAGTATAAAAATAGTTGGAAATGGTTAGTTTTGGACTCGTAGGTGAAAAAGTACCATTATCCAAAAAATGTGCTAATCCGGCTAGGGGTCCTTCCCATATAGTCCGGATGATCGAGTGGAGACAGTACAACTTAAATAGTTAAAATAAAATAAAATAAAATAAAATAATAACCTATTAAATGCTGTTTAAAAGTATAAGATTGAGGCGAGTTCACGTAAGGTTGCAACACAGTATGTAAATTCTCACAAAAACTCCTATATGATATAAACCTATGTGAAGAGAAGAAAAACCTGCATATTTTTAGGATTTGACTGTATTCTTTAATTCTTAAAATAATAAAAAACCCAGCGTTGAATGTAATGAAATACCATTTTCTGGGCGAGTCCCAGAGGCTTCCTGGAGCTATCCGAACTACTATGTGCTATATTTGTTTGGGGTCATCAGTCACAGGAGTCCTTACGACTACCAGGGACCACGAGCCAGAAGCTGGTCCCCTCAGAGAGGCGAAGGGAGTAATGGCATAGCTATGAGCACTTTACATTTAAAGTATGTCATAATTGCCATCGATTGGGAAGGACCAAGAAAGTTGGGGGGAATCAAAACAGACCACTGTCTGGTTAACCTGTACAATCTATCTCCAAAAAGATCAAAATAATTCCATAGGAAGATACCAAACAAGCAACACTTCATGCAACTAGCACCCTCCTCCTCCAGCCGGCAGCCCACCACTCCAGTTCCCTGAAGCTAACTACCCAAAGAAAAGTAAAAACCAGGGACTTACCCGGTAGGCAACAGCACCGCATGTCTCAATACAAGGAAGAAACAGACGGCCGCGACAGGCACCCCAAGGCCACACACGACCAGGAAGAAAATGGAAATTTCACAAGATATCTGGCGGCCAGGATTATGTTTGACCTCCAAAAACCCCGCGCCTGAATGTCAACCTAATACATGTTGCCTAAAACCACTGCAAGAGCAGCATACTTCCTAACACCATGGGCACGAGGGTAGACAGTAGGCTAGTTAGACTTAATGACACTACAGACAACCTGGGACACACGAGCCCTGGAACAGGGAAACGGGGAAACTGGATCCACCCAGAGAGCATCCACAGTCACAGAACCAGTGGCCCACAGGTAGTGGCATAAAACCACAACCGAACACAACAAATGATGCACCCCTAGCCAAACCAAGCATCCACAACCAACGGACCCCTCTGGAAGCCAGCCATCTCATTCTTTGACAGAAAAGAAGAAAAAGGCTGCAAATGAACAGAACGACCACCCAGACCAAACGAACAGAACCCCCCCGGCGTCGGAGGAGAGCATGAAAAACCCCCAACCAGACCTCCAGCCTGGCCTCGGTCCGGGCTTGGGGGGTAGAAGAACTCCCAGAACCCCATCAAGCAGGTATCAAGGCCAACAAAATGCCATCACAAACCGAAGGCAACTACAAATGAAGGAGAAGAAACGAAAGAACCCGGTCCAAAGACTAAGATGGCTGAGGCGGTGCATGAGTGGAAGGAACGGAGCAGAAGTGACATCCACCCCGAATGCCAGCTGCAGTGGCTCCACTAACGCCACATCAGTAGATATGGTATTAGGCATGAGATGCCGATCTAGAAAAAGCCAAGAAACAAAGTACAAAACAACCTGGTCCGAAATCAATGAAAACCTCCAAAGAGAAAGAAAATTATGGATAGACTGCCAAGAGATTTCATACTGTCATAGAGACGCCATCAAATCCAAGAAACCACCCGATTACCATACAAATGGCGACACACGCACACTCGTCAGAAATGTCAAGACGCGAATTGCAAAGCAGTAAGGCAAATCAGCGAGGTACTGTACCTCATCAGCCCAACCTGCTAAAAGAGGTAGAGCTGTGGAAAAATGTATGGATTCGGACACAGAGCAAGCAACGCCCGAAACCAGGGCTGGGCTGGCCACCATGGAGTCAGAGAATCACTCTTTCCGATAGGATTCCAGCCGAGTCAGAACCTAGAGCAACAGTTAGACCGGGGAAAAAGGTAAAGAACCCCCACCTTGTAACACACCCAATAATGGGAAGAAAAAACA